CCCTGGGGGTCTTAAGCCAGTGCCCAATTCACTCGCGGTACGCTAGACGTGGTGCTGGAACAGACGGAATAAGTATTTCTAAAGAGGGCGTGCTTATTACAGTGGAAATGGTAATGGTCTTAGTTAAACCGTTAATACCCTCATGATACACTTTAGATGTCGGTTCTCGTTTATACTGGAGGCGCGGTAGCCTCATGGTTAGTACGCTTGATTCTGGATCGAGCGTCTTGGGTTCCAACCCTGGCAAGCCCTTGCCCTCTTGGACAAGACATTCTTCTCTCACAGTGTCTCCCTCCACCCAGGTGTATAAATGGGTACCGGCGAGCTTAATGCTGGGAGTAACCCTGCGATGGACTAGCATCCTATCCAAGGGGGAGCAGAAATACTCCTAGTCGCTTCATGCTACAGAAACCGGGTTAAGCACCGGCCTGATGGGCCATTTGGCTCGTATGCAGACTTAACCTTTACATAAATGTTGACAGTTACCTTCTTTTGATCTTTAGTTTAGAATTTCTTGAATATCCTAGTGAGAGATTACTGCTCTTTTAACGTCTCTGTGCATGCTTTAAGGAAATTATGCGCTGCCGCTGTTGCTTATTACAGAATTTTCCTTTAATGGGGTTTGTTCTATTTTCAGGAGGAAGAAATACACAAATGTATCGTTCAGCTTGGAGTGTGTGATGGTATATCACAGAGGAGAGAAATGTCAGTGGATGGTCAACCGTTTCACCCCGTTCACAAAGATAAGCTGCAAAAACTGTTTACTTTAGCTGCGTCGCCATAGGCTCAACTAGATACCACCAGCTGTTCAGAAAAGTGTCTGGACTCTAACTGGGTTTTCTGAAACTGTTTTCCTAGTCCTCAAATTATCATCTTACTCGTATCTATAACGAAATTCTCGATCGTGATGGGTTCTCCACGCGCCTATTCGTCACGTAATCGGCACGCGATCCCGTGGGTGTCCAATTACAGGTATCCAATTTGAACTTTTTGTAATTGGACACCTGTAATTGGATACCCACCTGATTTGCACGTTAATTGCGCGCGTTTTAATGGCTTTCTTCGCATTGTCTCCTACAGTTTTCAAAACTTATGAAACGCGCTACATACGTTTTCGCTCAAAAGAAGTTCTCAAAAGAC